CCCCCGCAGGTCTCTGTGCAATGGCGTATGAAATAACGAAAGCGGCAAGGGCATGTCGTGCTCACGAGATTAGCTAATTCATAATTAATTCACCAGAAGTTTCAGAGATGTTCTGAGTTTGGTGAGTTTCACCACCCAGGAGCTGCGTAGTAACGAGGCTCGCTTTCAGAACTTTTTTCCCCCCGAGCTCAGTTTGATGAGCCACTGACCCGCATCAGTGCTGATACCTTCTGCCAGGACACTGACTGCAGGCACTCGATTTCAGCTGAAGAACTCCTGTTCATCTGTCTCAGGTTAGTGGACATCATCCAGAAAACTGTACCATCAGAAAATATGTCACTACGTCACACAGTGGAGTCTCTCTGATTGGTTGACACGCCGCGTCGAGCTGCGTTCAACGCTCTCGCTGCGCTCGATGCTCAAATTGCTCAAAACTAAATACACTAGAAACACCACAGCACTTCCTGATGTGCATCCACCATAGACTTTGCATGTAAACCTGACGCTCCTGATGCTCAAAATGCTTTTGGTGTGAACGCACTATTAGAGAAAGGGTGAGGAGCTCCATCATCCGTAGGRAGCTCAGAGTAGAGCCGCCGCTCCTCCACGTCGAAAGGAGTCCGTTGAGGTGGTTCGGGCATCTGATTAAGATGCCTCCCTTTAGAGGTGTTCTGGGCACGTCCCACTGGTAGAGAGGGCCCTGGGGAAGACCCAGGACTCGCTGTATCCTCTCTGGCCTGGGAACACCTTGGGGTCCCCCAGGACGAGCTGGAAAGTGTCACTGGGGAGAGGGATGTGTGGTTTTCTCTCATGGACCTGTTGCCTCTGCGACCCGACTACGGATAAGCGGAAGAAGATGGAGAGATGGAGATGGAGAACTTTGTCTGTTAGCAAAATATTTCATGAACCATAAGATAGTTTGATGAAACTTTCAGAAAATAATTATTCATCTAATAATATTATATGTTGAATTTGTATTGGACTTTACATTATCAGTCTCAAAGTGTTACAGAAATAAAAACATTTAACAAACAAACTGAAAAGTAAAAAAATAAATAAAATAAAATAWATAAAAAAGGAACAGATAAAAAATATCTTTAAACACTAAAATCTCTTAAAATCTTTTACCATCAGGACACAGATTTGCTAAAGATGCAGAACCAATAGATTTAAGAATTCCTTTTTACCTGGTGTTATACCTCCTGTCTCCCCCACCTGCCTCAAAACCTGCGCAGACCAACTAGTCCCAATCTTCACCACAATCTTCAATTAGTCACTAGAGCTGTCAGAAGTTCCCTCCTGCCTGAAACGCTCCTCTATCATCCCCACTCCAAAGAAGGCCACCATCAAAGAGCTAAATGACTACAGACCTGTGGCTCTGACATCTGTGGTGATGAAAACCTTTGAACGGTTGGAGTTGGCGCACCTGATTACAGGAAGCCTATTGGATCCCCTGCAGTTTGCCTACAGGGCAAACAGGTCAGTGGATGATGCAGTCAACATGGGACTGCACTACATCTTGCAACATCTTGATCACCCGGGAACTTATGCAAGGATCCTGTTCATAGACTCMAGCTCCGCGTTCAACACCATCATCCCAGGAACCATCTCCACCAAACTCTGTCAGTGGATCACCAGCTTTCTGACGGGCAGGGAACAGCAAGTAAGGCTGGGGGAGATGACCTCCAGTATTCTCACAGTCAGCGCAGGGCCCCCTCAATGATGCGTACTGTCACTGCTGCTCTTCTCTCTCCACACCACCGACTGCACCTCCAGTGATCCTTCTGTTAAAATACTGAAGTATGCAGACGACACCACACTCATTGGTCTCATCAAGGATGGGGATGAGTCTGCATACCGGGCGGAGGTTGAACAGCTGGTGCTCTGGTGTAGGGAAAACAACTTGGAGCTAAATACACTCAAAACAGTGGAGATGACAGTAGACTTCAGGAAACACCCCCCAGAACGACTCCCTCTAACAATAACTGGCAACCCGGTGTCCAGTGTGGAAAACTTTAAGTTTCTGGGAACCATCACATCCCAAGACCTGAAGTGGGAGACCAACATCAACTCCATCCTCAAGAAGGCCCAACAGAAGATCTACTTCCTGCAGAAACTAATGAAGCTGGGTCTGCCACAGGAACTGTTGATCCAGTTCTACAGAGCAGTCATAGAATCTGTCCTATGCACATCCATCACAGTCTGGTTCGGAGCAGCCACACAGCAGGACAAGAACAGACTGCAGCCAACAATCAGGACAGCTGAGAGAGTCGTTGGTGCTCCCCTGCCCACGCTTCAGGACCTGTACGCCACAAGAACCAGGAAACGGGCAGAGAAAATCATGTCAGACTCCACACACCCAGGACATAGCCTCTTTCAACTTCTCCCCTCCGGCCAGCGTCATAGAACCCCATGCTCAAAAACATCCAGACACAAAACAGCTTCTTCCCCCAGGCCATCTCCCTGATGAACAATGCTAAACACTAGACCTATTAACTAGTGACTAATGCATATATTACTGTATATAATCCACAGACTATAATGTTTATACTGTATATTTATATAACTTTATATCTTTTAACTTGTTTTATCCTTTTTTCATATATGTGTGTTGGAGAGACAACATCTGCTGGAAACAAATTCCTTGTGTGTATCAACATACTTGGCCAATAAAGCTGATTCTGATTCTGATTGCCCTTGTTGAATGTTGTGTGTGTTTGTAGATWTGCCCATACCATGATGGTTTTTATGGTATTTACTGTATTTATTGCTGTTGAATATTTTTTTTTTCCTGCTGGCTGTAAAACAAATTGCCCCATGGGTATATTAAAGATAACTTTAACTTGAAAGGAAGGTCTTCAATCCTTTGTAATAAAACTCTTTATAGTCTGGGGTCTCAGGTGATCGGGGAGGGCGTTCCACAGACTGGGTGCAGCAGAGCAAGCAACAGGCCCTGTCAACCACGGTGTGCACATTTGTTGGAGGAAGTAAAAGCTGGTAGGAATTTGTAGATTGGATTGAAATGAGTGTGTTGATGTCTGAGCAGTGACTGATGATGTGTTAAAACAGTGTGAAAGCTGAGAGCCATTCACTCCAAACACCACACATTGTGCAAATCTTTGATTAAAACGTCAGCATTAACTGTTGGTGTGTAGGGCTAGGGTTTCCAGTTCAATCCCCCATTTCTTCTGTCTCAGTCGTGTCCTTGGGAAAGACACTTCACCCACCTTACCTGCTGGTGGTGGTCAGAGGGTCCAGTGGCGCCGGTCTGACACCAACAGTCTGCCCCAGGGCAGCTGTGGCTACATTGTAGCTTACCCCCGTCAGTGTACAGGTGAATGATTGAAGTGTAAAGTGATTTTAGAGTCCGTAGGGACTTGATAAAGCCATTTACAGTTCTGTTTGCAAAATAGTTATTAAGCCACTGGACAGATTTTTTTGAAACTCAGAATTTAAACATTGGATGTACAACTGATTAACTTTTAATTCAATTCAAGATCAACATGAGTAAGCACACAAATAGCTATAATCAAGTCAGTTTTACTGAGCTAAAATATTTCACATAATCTCAAAATGACATCATGCATAATGTTAATTTAAAGGTTTGACTAAAATGGGAACTCCATCATTTTTCAACAAATTATTCTTAGTTTAAATCCCTGGYAAGAATGTTTCAGTGTGATTTGCATTTTTTTTTCAATGAATGCTGGGCCTTTAAAACACATGAACACTTATAAAACTAGTGTGAGGAAATCAGCTGAATGTATTTGAAAATGGGGAAGAAGAGTAAAAGAAAAAACTAGTCATACCATACAGCAGGCCACATGATGTCTTTAAATATATTTATTTTTTTCTCTGAACCCAAGGCAAAGCACATATCAGCATCAAAGAATACAGGTTTTTCTCTAGATAATATACAAAACATTGTAGTTTAAGAATATATATATATATATGAAATAAGACAGATTTGTAAGGAAATGTATGAGCACAAAGTAAAATGTCCACAAGAGAGGGAGGCTGCACAGTACGAAGGGACAGACAACTTCCTAACATTCCTTTCAGAGGATCCTTACAGAATATGATGGATGAGACAACGGCACCATAAAACAAAATATAAATTTAAATCTCTTATCTGTAAGGGCCCTGGAATGTACCAAACAGACTAAGGTCAAAGGCTCTGGCTCCCTCTAGTGGCCAGGCAGAGAAAAGGCAGTGCAGAGCTGCTTCTAACATCGAACCACAGAGGAGGCGGCAAAGCTCAACTTAAAACTGTCAGGATTCCTCTTCTCAAGTTATCGTCCAGGAAACTACGTCTAACATGAGCAACATGTGCCCAACCAGCGTGATTCAACAACTTGCGACGGGACACACAAGTTGACACACAACAGCAACCAGGTCAGGAGGCGAGGAAACACCCAGTGAATCACAGCCACAGCGAGAAAATACTCTTCTGCTACTTTAATACTTTGTTCCTATATGGCAATATGATTATTGTCTTTCTTCAACTCAAATGATTAAATTACACTAAAGATATTTAACATAATTTCAGTAACTGTACAAGAGTGGAAAACAAACTGCTGCCCTGAGGTCACAATGACCCACGAGGCCTCGGCCCAAACACTGAGGCAATGTGGGTCATTTTGACCCAAGGGTGACAGGAGCATTAAGATAAACATTTTGAATGGATGTGAAACAATCATGACATCAATAAATAGAAATGGGAATACATTCGTAGATTTAAATATTTGTAAAACCTAAATTTGGTGCATAAAAAAATTACAAGAGTTCTGGGAATTAGTCCAAATGAAACTAAGATTTATTTTCTGAACATATAGCAGGGTCATTATTTAAACACTTGGGGTTGACCTTTGACCTCTGCTACACTCACTGCTGTGTCTTTCTGAGCACTAAATACAGATTCTGGTCTACAGAAGGTCTGCAGTATTCATCTGGTTTCACATAAGAACTGATCAATCAATCAATTTGCCCAAAAATAACAATAAATAGACACAAACAAGGAACGGTTTGATTAATGTGGTTTGACACTTTGAATCTAAACTACACACCACTACTCAAACACACGTGAGGTTTGTAACATGGACACACCAACAACTGCAACCAAAGACATTCTTATCCAGGATCCCTGATCAAAAACAGCAAAGTAAAACCAGCACAAACTAAAAACATTGGCAAATTTCAAGACATTTCATGTTTGAAGTTGAGCTGTGTGTGTGTGTGTGTGTTGGTACGTAGAGGAAGTTGTAAAGATAAAAATTAATCAATGAAACCTGGTGAAGACAAATGTAATTTAACCTTCTGTTCATCCCTCTTCACGATTCCCTTCAGCTCAGGCCTGAGCAGATAAATGGGATCATCACCTCAGCAAGTTCTAGGTCTGACCTGGACCTCCTCCCAATAGGAAGAGCCAGAAAACCCAACAGAGACCCTCAAGACTTTTAAATCTGAAACATAATCCACCTGGGCTGATTTCTTCTGCTATAGAGCAGCAGCCCCTCACCTTCTCTCTAACTCTGAGCTCAGCCACCTCGAGATCTCTTTCTGCCATGATCCACACATCATGACCAAGGTGAGGCCTGGAATGTAAACAAAACAGTAAATGAACTGCTTCACTGATCACTTCAGCTGCGTCTTTACAACAAACCAAAGCTGCATCCTTATTCCTACCATCAGTCAGCCCACTGCTCAAAAAATGAGCCAGCCCAGCAGAAAATCTTCATCGCTTGAGATCCTTATCTTCTGGTTTATTTTACTTTTCTGTAACTTAACAATGACATTATCAACAAACTTGTGATCTCCACCAAAAATCACTTCAAGATGAATATTTTTAGGACCATTTAACAAATTCCTAGAGAGGGTATTGCCTCACTTGGACCAGTGGGAACAGAAAAGAGCAAAGCACTGCAGAGGCTTTGTTATGCTTTACTATCAAATCACACTTGGTGCAAATCACAAATAAACGTCATGTAAATCTCCTGGAATGAAAAGTGGTTTGCACACAGTAACTGATTGTTTTGGCAAAGAGCGCTCTGCTGTCCCACTCGGTGACTCAAAGGTTCAAAGTGAGGAGCAGAGAGTGGCAGTGGAGAAAGCATTGGGCCAAAATGTCCTGCCAGCTTACAGAGCAAACATAAAAYCTAAAATAGCTCAATGAGACGTTAAAAAAATAACAAGAAAAATAATTAAAATAAAATCCTTTAAGAAATGACCGCCTTACCCATTGACATAAATAACTGTGGTCATCAGCCTCAGAGAGAACTTCAGATTTCTAATAAAACACAGTTTTATGTTTTTAAAGCACTACAGCTTAAAAACACAAAGATACTTATAAGTAACTTACAGTAGATTARGTTTGGTGAAACTTGGGACTTTTGCCCGATTTGGCCAAACATGAGGCTTTGAAATAGCCAACCAAGGAGAAAATTTTTTAAAAAAAACTAAAGAAGACACACAAATACACAAGTCATAACAGCCTGAGTAAAACAGACATAACATTAAAATATAATAGAACATACCAAATACAAAAACCCATCATTGTATAAATAACATTCACAATCAAATAATACTAAAAAAAAATTAAAACCTATTTTTTAGGGGGTGGGGTGTGTGGGGGGGGTGGGGGTGATGCTGAAGTAATAATACAGTGAATAACAGGGTCGAGGGCAGTGCATTATAAGGACAAATACACTAAAATATGAACACACTCCAACAGAGAGTAGAGGGAATAATCTGTAAATGTATAGATATGTACATCTGACCGACATTTAGTTTAACAGTGTTAAACAGTGKCTGTAATGGAATAGTGTGACGGTGATCAGCAAACTGAACCTGAAAACACTGATGTTACAAACATTTTTCACAGACTGAGCACACACACGCCTCTCTAACCCAGGTGAAATGGAATGACCCAAGGCTGCCTGTTTTTTTTTGTTTGTTTTTCTTTTATGTGTTCCTGTTCACGCAAAAACAGATGTTCCCTCAGAGAGCGAGGGTCAAACAGAGCCCCCTGGCTGCTGCCCTCTTCATCTCTCTGCCACCGTGTGAGGCAGCTGCTGTGGGGGCGGGGCTCTAAGCTGCGGCCTCCACAGCGGGCAGCAGGCCCTTCTCTGTCAGGTGAGCCTTCAGGGAGTTGAAGATGTGGAGCTGCTGATCGGGACGAAGGGCCAGGAGCTGTTGGATCACCTTGCTGGGGTTTGGGCCCCTGAGAGAAAACACGAGACATGAGCAAGTGAGACAGGAGAGACGGCACAGATGTTTTATAGACTGTGTTAGATGCTCCTCCAGGACAAAAAGCAGAGTTGTAAAGTAACTAAGTACAAATACTTTGTTACTGTACTTACATGGAATTTTTGGATATCTGTCCTTTACTTGAGTAATTATTTTTCACCCTACTTTTTACTTCTACTTCTTACATTAAAAAAGGCAAGTAGTASAAAGTTGTTACTTTTATTTCATTTTTGCTTGTTTTCATTCAGCTTGTTATTGTAAAAAATAAATACTATCCATATAAATTGTGCCTCCTAGATAGAGTGAATTTAATTGTGGTTGAATGAGAAGTATAAATATATTAAATTCTGATTTCGTATTAGTTTGTACACAAACAAATCATGTCACACTCCAGCAGGACATATTATATTTATTCATGAATAATACTAATTTAACCCTAAAAATCATCCATAAAGTGGGGAAGTAGTATTATACACGAGTTATTGATAATTAGATTTTTAATCCTTTTTAACTCAAAAAATGATCATGTTATACTTGCGATCATATTATACATGAATAAATACGGTTATCATTAAAATAAAAGTACTGTACTTAAGAAGTATTTGTATTTCATGAATTATATTATTGCATTTGGCCGCAGCCCTCAGATAGATTTTCATTTTGGAGAAAAGCTTTGTGCAGCCTTGATAAATAAACTGAAACATCTAGACTAGTGCATCGTAAATTTAACATAAATTAATTATTTTAATACAATATAGTCATTTCTACATTTTTTGGGGAGGTCACCTCCTAATAAATGTCATTACAGAAAATCTAACTGCTCATTTTAAATCAATACTTTTACTTTTAATACTTAAGTACAAAAAATATCCGTTGCTTTAATACTTTTACTAAAGTAATATCCCTAAAGGAGACTTTAACTTTTACCAAAGTCATTTTTTGGTAAAATACTTATAATTTCACTCAAGTATTACTTTGTGGTACTTTATACAACACTGACAAAAAGTGCACAAATGTTCAGATCTGCATTTAGTGCTATCTGAATGCAATAGGAACACTCAGGATGTTAGTGCAAGGTGTAAATGAGTTATATTCAGAGAACAGAAAGAATTTATTGACACCAGCATCAAATTCAAAGGAAGCTAAGAAGCACGTTTATCATTGAGTTACACCACTGTCTGTTTTAATGACACACCCAAGTTATTTGGAAAGTCAGGACTCTACAGGTTTGTTTGTGTTTGTTTTCCTCCTGTAGTGTTACAAGAACAAGAAAGAGTTCGGCCCAGTTCTTAGGAGAACTTCACAACTGTTCTGGATTCAGGGGGTCTTAAACCAGGTGTCTAAATGTCAGAAAGTGTTTGTGCAGTAGTTTGACCTGACCTGATGAAACTAGCGATGTAAACGTTGACGAATGTGGCCATGAGATACTGGCAGTCAAATCTGTCCATGATGCCACCGTGTCCCGGGATTGTGTTGGCGAAATCCTGCGAGGAGAAAACACACAAAGTAAGGCTTCACTGTGCACCTGCACAGCAGGTTTCAAAAGGAATAATCTAAATAAGAGCTAAGGAAAACAAGAGCTAAAAACTGAAAACAGCCAAACAAACCAATTTCTGTGTGAATATTTAATTAAAAACAAGCACTCAGTGAAAGCTTCCCGAGCACTGCTTATATATTCCCACCTTGATCTTGAACGCTCTCTTGAAGCCGCTGGCAAAGAAGCCGCCGAAGGGTCCGACGATGGAGGCAAAGGAGGAGAGAGCGATGCTGTGAATCTGGAAAGGATAAAGACGCACCGTGGTCTGTGGAGACGAGAGGAGACGGTTACTTTCACACATACATACAGATCCATCCAAAAGTATTGGAACAGCAAGTCTAATTCCCTTGTTTTGATTATACACTGAAGACATTATGGTTAGAGGTCAAAAGATGAGCAAGAGACAAGAGTTCTGAATGTCAGCTTTTATTTCCTGGTATTTAAATATAGATGTACCACCCTTTGTTTGAACACACCCATTTTTCAAGTGAGCAAAATTATTGGAACAAGTRACTGACAGGTGTATCTTATTGACCAGGTGTTGTCAACGTTAATTGTTCAAATATTAAATAGCTCTGTCTTACTTTTGGTCTAGGTTTAAGCATATAAAGTATGTAATATCTATGTAATTTAATGTATAAATTTCTTGTTAAAGAGGATAAACCAGCATAAAGACCAAAGAGCTGTCTGTGGGAGAAAAGCTGAKAAAAGGAGGAAAATCAATCAGAGCCATTGGACAAACATTGGGCATACTTTTGGAAATCTTACTAACCTTCAGCTATTTGAATTAATTATTTTGAAAGTCAGAAAAGTATAGTACAATGTTCATTTCTGTTTCTTAAATCACTTTAGTACTTTATAAATTCCGTATTTGGCAGTTTTATCCCATTCTGTCTATATCTTATGCTGGGGAAAGTTTGATGTTTTAAGGCTACTTATGCAGTRCTTTATGTTGTTCTGATTCACCTCTTCAAGTATTTAAAGACACAAGGAAAAAGTAAAGTCCTACCCATCCAGTGACAGACTCCAGGACACCAGGCAGGGTGTATTCCTGGAGCTGAAAGAGCTCAGAGGGATGGCAGTCCACTTGGAAACTGTTGGAGTCGTTGTTGAACTCCACCGGACAGACAAAGTAACGATATCCGGCCATGACGTAGGAAAGCTGAGAGGGAGGAGTTACTATTCAGTTACAGAACATCACTTATTTTATCTTCATAAGAAATTAAATAAATTTGTCTTTTTTTTTTTACATTAAAAAATCTAAATAAATGAACTTCTCACCAAGATGCCAAACACAATGGTGGCGAACAATCCACCGATGAACCCCTCCCATGTCTTCTTAGGCGACAGCTGCAACAGCCCAAAACAAAGATTATCATACAATTACCTACAGCTCAATGTTTTTATGAACGTCAACAAACTGATGTGTAACAATTAGAAACATGTGAAAGACTGAAACWGACCTTAATAAGTGGGGTTCGGCCAAAGAAGAACCCAAACATGTAGGCCATAATGTCATTGCAGATCACACAGGAAATTGGCACAATGAACCTKATCAGATAAAAGACATTAGCTTCTGGGTTAATCTTCATTATTATTACATTATAATGTGAACAATAGAGATGATTCCTTTTCCAGTTCATGAAATTTTACTTCCTGAGTGAATGCATTGAGAGAGAAGCAGAGCTGCATCAATCCAGATGATAACTCACCAGATCATCCCCTCAAACAGGTTGTGAATGATGAGGTGAGACTGAGTCACCACGATCAGCAGAGTGACATGGGTCCAACCGAACTGTGGAGACAAACATCGAGGTCGTACTGTATGTTTATACTTCGTCAAGTTTACGTTCGAACTTTGATAATCCCTAACCCCTAACTAATAATAGMCAATAATCTGAACTGCATATTTAGTTGGAAAAGTTTAATTAGTTCACTTAAATTTGTATTTTTGCACCTTTTAATATCAGGTTAGGTTCAAACTTTACTTTTTATAGTAAATCTGACAAATTGCCAAATGAACTAAGAAACACTAAGAGAAGTAACAGTAATCATACAAGTTTTGTTTATAAAGCACATTAAGCAACTATGGGACCAAAGTGCTGCACAGTTTAATAATTTAAAAAGCAAATTAAAATATACTTTATAATAAAAACAAAAACACATGAAATCAATTAAATATAAACTAAAATTACACTCAAAGTCAACATCTGACAAGGTGTCAAAAGCTCAGGAGAAGAGAAGGGTTCTAGYTGACCTGAGAGAAGGGAGGGGGTTTAGGTGTGTAGCAGATCTGTGAGGTGGGGCAGTGAACTTTAAAATGTACGTGCAGCAGCAGCAAGGCTAAAAAAGGGAAATTTAGCCTATTTTTTTTGTAGTTAAAAGAGGTGCAGTGGGATTTTGAAGCCTCTGGAGCTGAGCAACAGATGAAGCTGACCCTTATATAAAGTCTTACAATAATCCTAATGAGTGGACTGCTATAAAAAAGATAAATTTTCTTCCTAAAAAGAAATGGATTGACTTTATTTAGCTCCTTTAACTGAAAAAATAATAACAATAACAAAATGGTTTAACCACTGCTGCTCTGATTTAATTACAAAATGTAAAATCAGACCCAAGGTATGTGATGCCTCAGTATACTGAGCCAAATAATATAGGATATTGTGTCAGAAACATAACCTGAGTCGTCTTATTACTCAAATGTAAGACATTTAGAGCCATCGAGACGTTTATGCAGTGGTTCTATTGCGAAAAAAAGGCCCTTTTTCTGAAGCGGGACATAAATCTGACARTCGTCTGCATAAAAATGAAAAGATATTTCAGGCTTTCAAAGGCCACAGTGTGTGTCTTAGTATGAGGGTCACGGTTCAGTACAGCCCAACTTGATGGATTTTTTCTGACAGCCACACAGTATTCCAGCTGTGGCTGTAAAAACTAGCTGTTTCTTGGATACATTTTCAGTCTCCCAGCAAYGWCTGAACTTGGGTGTAATTTGTATTCATGTGTCCTCCTCTCTGCTTTGGGCTCTGCTCCCTGTGTTCACAGTGCACACCAGCTTTCAGAAAACTCAAAGGGGACTGCACTTTACAGTGCTTTAAATAAGGTGGTGGGTTTTCTGAAATTATGGTGAAYTCAAGGACTGAACAAGAGAATTGCACTTATTGCAAAAAATTACACATATTATCAGAGGTGTCAAGTAAATAAGTACAAATACTTTGTTACTTTACTTAAGTAGTAATTTTTGGTTATTTATACTTTAGTGGAGTAATTATTTTTCAGCCTACTTTTTACTTCTATTTCTTACATTTTATTTCAATTATCTGTACTTTCTACTTCTTACTTTTTAAAAATGTAAAAAGTATTTCATTTCTATTTAACTTTGACTTGTTTTTATTCCATCTTTTCATTGTTCAGAAAAAAATATAAATAAATAGAAATCTATCCAGACACATGGAGCCCATGGATAGAGTGAATTTGATTGTGGTTGATGAGCAGGGGTAGTTAGGTTGTCCGAGACAACCTATYTTCATTTYGGACAACCAGATCCTGTCTCCTGGTTGTCCGGTGGMCAACCAAGAAAAAAACACCTTGATTAAAGTTCTCTGTCGTGGGAGCTTGTCATTGTAAAAATGGACAGGAGAAAAAAACTTGGTAAATTCAAACAGAACACTAAACTGTTACTTTTAATGAGGTTAGGATACTTCTGTTTAAGTGAAAATGTTTGACCTATGCGCAAAAAGAAGCTTATGAATGTTGAACTTTATTTCAGAAAAGAAGAGAACGAGGAAATTTTATTCACACAGATCCTGTCAACCTGGCTGACTGAGAACAATTATATATAATCAACTTTGTCTACAGAACAATATACTTGTTAAATTACAATTTACTTGAGATTCTTTTGGACAACCAAAATGTTTTGCGGACAACCAGGTTTTGTCAACAGCTTGTCCACTGGACAACCTGAAAAATTTCCTTATGTCTACCCCTGATGAGAAGTGTAAATATCTACCACCCTGACATCCTATTGGATTGAAGTCACTCCATCACACCTGYGYGACACAAATCACATCACATTCCAGCAGGACACACTGTAGCACAGTGATTCCCAACCAGGGGTACAAGTACACCTTGGGTTACGCGAGCGTATTATGGGGGTACGTGGAAAAATTTCCCAGGTGCTCAAAAAAACAAGTAAAAATAGCAATGTRRAAATCACAGATTTGACACAAAATGGAATCCAGTATAAAAAGCAGAATCTCACAGAATTTGTTCTTTTGGGTGAGTTTCTGATGTATTTTGGATGGTCCGATGTATTTTGGACATTGCTGTTTTCTGCACCTGCCATTACCTGGCTTACTTTTTAATTAAATATTCACTTTCAAGGCAACATTTTTACCTTTATCTTTAATCTTTCTTTGAAAAGAATAAAATGCATGAGAATTAAATGTTCTATGG